TAGGCCACTCTCACGGTCTTCTAAGACCCTTACTACGTGATCTAGTCAGGCTCTAGGGGCCCTTAGAGGGGTAGGAGGGGTTTAGGCCCCCCGAAGGGCCTATAAATATAGGGGCTTCGGGGGCGTCGGTGGCGGTAGTAGAGGGTACTAGAAAAAGGGTCTGAAGTAGGGCGTTGTATTTATCTTCGAAGGCGTAGGCCTTCTGCTTCGTAGGCGTTTAAATCGGTGGGACTTCCGCGTTAAGGCCGCTCTTCGTATAGATATAGGCCTTAAAAATCTCGGGGCCTTCGGCGTAGGCTAGGAAGGTCTCCTAGTAGTCGTTTTTTACTGTTTTAACTACTCGATATTAAACGTTTCGAGCTTCTTTCTAGGAGGCTTCTAAGGACGCTTAAGTAGCTAAGGCTCCCTTTCCATTTCGAAACGCCCTAAAGACCCTGCTAGCTAATTGTCGCAGGGCTTTTAGCTCTTTAGTCCACCACGGCTTCGAACGCTCTACTACCCGTAACTCAGACACTAACGCCTTAAGCGCTAGGGTAATAGTATCCGAAAGACAGCGGGCTAAAGAATCCCAGTCTAAGACGTTATTAGCCTATTAAAGGTACTAGTTAAGGCTAGGTTCTAGGCTTTATAAGGTCCGGGCAAAAAGGTCCTAATCTACTAGCTTATAGTTATAAGCCGGCGGGAGGGACCGATTTATAGGACCTTTAGGGCCTAAAACTACAGCCGAAAGGAGGATACCGTGGTATAAAGAGGTAGTGTTTTCGATATATTCGTACTTATCGAAGCGGAGACGATCGAAACCGGGCGTGTAAAAGGCTAGGTCTATAACCGACTCTTAACGATGATTAGACCTAAAAAGGATCCCCCTATTTAGGTTAACTTCTTCCGAATCCACTAAATAGGTAGCTCCGAGGCTATCTAACTAGTCTACTAAGGCCTAGGACTTAATAGAAGCCTAGTTAATAGTAGCTCCGTTCCACTACTAGTGGTTTCTATTAAAGTCCCCTATAATAAGGGTAGGCTTAGGGACCTATAGGCCCTAAAGCACTCGATCCTCGGTCCAGGGCCGGCTTTTAGAGCCTAAAAACGAGGGAAAAGAAGAACAAGAAGTGGAAGAGGTAGAAGTGGAAGAGGTAGAAGTGGAAGAGGTAGAAGTGGAAGAGGTAGAAGTGGAAGAGGTAGAAGTGGAAGAG